ACTTTGCCTTACTGTTTGCTATGTTAAAAGTGAGTTAAGATATGAGAGTTTTGAGATTTTCTGTTTAATTGCTTTTAATCCGTGCCCATTTTGCCTTCAGGATTTAGTTGCAGAATATTATAAAATATGTAAGGAAACCCAACAATTGCCTAGTGGACATTTTGGATACATATAATCCTGTTAAAATTTTGAGATTGGCAGGATAGTCTATTAAAATTAAAAATTATTTATATATTATACTCAACTTCTCACTACAAAATATACATTTACTCTTAGATAATTGTGGTATTATCTGCTAATAAAACACTTTTACATAAAATTAAATGAAAAATTATATAGCTTGTTTATCAAACTATTCATAGATAACTAAAAAATAATCCTTTAAAGTTGAACTTTTTTACAGTTGGAGCTGTTGAACTGACATGTTTGTTGGAATCCCATTCATTTAAACTTCCTTTTCTTTCAAGTCATCTGTTGGTTACCGCAACACATATGTACTGCTTAAGGGAGATTCTTTCAAGGAAAGGACTGGCTTACATCCAGTCTCGACAAGCACTAAATTCTGTAGTTAAAATTACATCCAAAAAAAAACATCCTGAGCTAATTACCTTCAAGTATGGAAACAGCAGTGCTTCCGGGATAGAAATCTTGGCTATCGAAAGGTAAGATTTATTATTATTATTATTATTATCATTATCATTATTATCATTATCATTATTATTAGCTTCTGAATTAATGCAGCCCATTAAGTGCAGGCTTCTTGATTTTGGTGAGTGGCAGAGGGCACTGAAGCGCCCCGCTCCTGTAACAGTGCCGTCATCTATAATCATTTTCCTAGTATCTGCTCATATGTGGCTTCTACACTGGTACATGATTTCAGTTACACTGTAGCAAATGTCACAGCAGAGTCATTAAGAATAATCTAGGGATCCAGAGAGATGGCTCAGCAGTTAAAGGCACTTGTGGACAAGCCTGACAACCTGAGTTCAGTCCCTGAGCCCTACTTTAACACTCTATGGCATAAATACCCCCACCCCACTGAGTGAGTGTAATATAAAAACAAGAAGAAATACTGTGACAGTCTAGAGACTCTGCTCTGTCATGCAGGCAAGACCTGAGTTCCCGGCACCCAGAACCCACGTCCAGTGGCTCACAGGTGTTATACCCCCACCTGTAAGACACAGGTTAGGGTGGCACACACCCTTAATCCCAGCACTTGGGAGGCAGAGGCAGGTGGATTTGAGTTCAAGGCTAGCCTGGTCCACAGAGTAGGTTCCAGGACAGCCAGGGATACACAGAAAAACTAAAATAAAACCCAAACAAAAAAGACATGCAGACCTCATCTGGCCTCTGTGCTCATAGATACACACATGTACATAATACATACACACAAATAAAGTAAAACATTTTTTAGAAAAAGAATTATACAGATGCTACATTAAATGCTGACTTGTGGGGACATAAATTTGTCTTAGACTGTTAAATTGGTATTTTATTTTGCATCATCAAAACATCTCAACCTGGGGATGGTTTGAATCTGTTTTAGACAACTTAATGTTTTGCTTAAGGTCAAACTAGCAAGTCCTGGAGTTGCCATTGACTTTGGAATTGGATGGCATAAAATCATAATCACAGCAGCTTAACTCACATCTGAACTAGACCGTGAGTGCAGTGATCCACCTGCGTTGTCTTCGGACAGTACACATACATAGTAGTTCAGAGAACCTTAGCTGTGCAATATATGAAAAGTCCCAGGGCTTTGACTTGGGGATTTTCAAGTAACATTTTGATCATCTGCTGAGGTAAGTTTATGGAGCACATAGCAGGGCATCTCTGCTACCTTTATGTGACGTCTCAGCACAGATCTGAATGGAAAGTGCTGTATTAATACATATATGTGTCTTTTCCCCCATAGGTATTTGATTCCAAATGCAGGAGATGCTACCAGAGCCATAAAACAGCAGATCATGAAAGTGTTGGATGCTTTGGAAAGTTAATGTAAAAGAAAGTTATTTAAGTGAAATTAAGGCAACGAAGAGAAACATGAAAATATATTTCCTGACTCAATACTAACCAGAGACCTTTGATTTGCTCATGGGGTGCCTGAGTAGAGGGTCTAAATGCAAATTATTGTAACCAATCTCGGGATGGGTACACTTTTTAAAAAATTTCTTTTGCATCTTTGGTTTTATATAATGATTGATTATAAAGGTCAGTTATTAAATGACTTTGAAGTAACTGGCCTTGTGCCCTATGGATCAAGGGCACAGAATGCAGTTCTGTTTTGAAGAGCTGTTTTAAAGGACATGCATCATTTCCAGGTTTTAAAACAACTGTACACATACATATTTGCAATGTCTTCACTGAAATTTAGGGATAGAATTAGTTGAAGAGATTTAATTGCTACATTGAGTTTTACTACAATGAACATTATCAGAAAATAAATGGTTAGATTAATAATTAGCTCACTGTTTCTATTCTTAAAAAGATTGAAGTCTATTTGATGGAATGGATGGAAATCATAGCAACTCAAAATACAGACCATAGTGAGACACTGAAGGGTCAGCTTCACCCCATCTTCTTTCTCTCCAGTAGGTAATTATTCAGAGACTAATTGCCTCAGAGATAGTAAGCCTCATCCCAGGGTTGCTAAGGAACAGTTAGCAGCATTAGAAGTAAGTAAGCATGTTAAGGTTAAAATTAGCATTTGGGGGACAGAATTGTATCTGTAAAAATGTCATTGGTCTTTATTACAAATGGTCATTTGGTCTAGGCTGTCTCAAAATGTTTTGAACACACTGATTATCCTCCTTGAATAATCACCTGTGATCACGCTAATGTCCAGTTTTAAACAAAGATAATCAGAGAGCTATAGAAATTTTTCATGGTTGTTCTATCACTTTCTGAAAATTCTCTTTTGGTTTTGTCTTCTCAGTAAAATTTCAGTAGTTGAAACTTTTTTCATTCTTATAGTCTGAAACAAATGGAAGCTGTCTGCGTTGTTTGTCAGCTTGCTCAGATTAATTTCTGTCGCCCATACTAGTCACTGTGCTGAGAGATCCCAAACATCTTTGGACCATGAGATGATTTTTATAAAATCTGTTTGGAAAATAGTAAATGTAACCTGCCATGTCATAAAATATAATAGATTTTCTCTAAGGGGTTGGTTGATAGAAATATCTAGATGTACCCCACTAGTAGCCAGTGTTTTAATTTGCTTAATGGAAATCAAGTGAATAAAAGATAACATAATTAAAAGAACTCTATTCTGATATCTAAATTAAACAATGTATTCGAGTGGTTGAAGACATTTGCATGAAATTGCACCCTGTGCAGTACTTGATATTTATAACTCTTCCCCCAGACTGTTGTATTTCATTTCTTCCATTTTCTTGACACCCTCTTTGAAATGTCCTGAAGTCTCATTTTTCAACCATCTCAGCTATGGGACTTTTTTCATAATATTAATGTAAAGATGTTTGTGTTACTGTTTATAAATTACAATTGTAAATAAACTGATATAAGTTTGCTCAAAACTTCTGCTCTCGAGGCTGTCCTCTTTCTTTTATCTGTATTTTGACTGCAGATTAAACATTTGTCTTATATATGTACCTTAGGTAGGCTAAAACTACACTGTGTTGAAAAAATGATACTAGTTGGGTGCTGGGGTGCTCATAGTCCCAGCTATTGAAGGAGGCTGAGGCAGGGGAATCACTTGAGCTCAGGAAGTGAGGCTTTCCCTCTTCCCTTTTCTAGAGCAGGTCAATAAATCTGTCACCACAGACCTGGCTTTTTTCTTCCATAGTTGCATGGCTACCAGGCCAATGTAATTTCTAGTGCAAGATGGAGATGGGGTAAATATGGACGACAAGGCCATACTGCAACACATCCTGTAGCCCATACATTCTTTCTTCACCCCAGTTCCCCAGTGTTCCCAGATTCTTGGAAGAAATGATTCTGTGATCCCTTCAAGACATGATGTGGGTGTTCAGAACCAAACCCAGATCCTCTGCAAGAGCAGTAAGTGCTCTTAACCATCAACCCATCTCTCCAGCCCCTGCTTTGTCCTTTTTAAACTGCTTTTTTTCCCCTACCCCAGAGTTTGTAAAAAGCTCAACCCCCACCAAAGAAAACTTTGGCTAAATTTTCTATTGTGGATCTGAACTTCGTGCTTTGTTTCCTCTTGCCCAGATCTATAATCCTCTTGTTTCCATGCTCTGCAAATGTGATAAGGTATGGACTTTCTCTTGCAACCATTGCAAAGGTTAGAAAACAATGTAGCTAGCTGGGTTTGTTGGTACATGACTCAATCCCTGCATTCCAGGGTGGGAGCAGGAGGATTAAAAGTCAAGGTGGGCCTTAGCTACATAGTAAGTTAAAGTGCAGCCTGGGCTACAGGAGACCCTGTCTGAAAACCAGAAAAGCTCCAAAGAAAACAATGAAATAGTAATAGTGAATAAAAATTAAATAATAAATACAAAGGTCAAATCTTAGAATACTGCTTAGCACTAGCTCTATCTCTTTCTCCAGCCCAGTGAGGAGCAAGCTCCTGAAGTCCTGCTAGCCTAAACCAGATGTGCTCCCTCAAGCCAGTCAGCATGGGGCATTCATTACCTTGGCCACTGCTGTCATCCAACCTGAAATTGAAGGCCTTTGTGCCACAAGTAGGGCCTTTCTACCCCAGATGTCCCGCTCCTTAACCATTTATAGCACACCACCATAACATAGGCAGCTCTTTTTTGACCTTGCTTTTGAAGGCCCTATTTAAAGAATTTGTAATTATCACTTCTTGGTGTATACAACCATTTTTAGTACGGGGCCCAGGCAAGTATCTAGCTCAGTGGTAGACTGGTACTGAATGTGCACAAAGTCGGAGGCTTACTCACCAACACAAAACAATCGCAAACAATCACAAACAAAAAGCACAAAACAATCTTCGAGGCTCCGCCCCTCGGCCCAGCCCTTGACCACGCCCCTTCCGCACTCCAGGCTCGGCCCCGCCTTCCACGCTCCGCAGAGGCGATTGACTGGCAGCTTTCCCTGTGGCCTGTGGTCCTCCGAGGAAGAGCCATGTCTAGTAAGTGGCTCCTGGCCTGGTTGTCCAGCTCCCAGTGGGAGCGGAGTCCTCGTTGCGGCGGTGCAGATGAGCCGGCCGGGTCCCTGCGTCCCCCGGTCAGCCATGCCGTTGGCTCTTGTCGCCGGTGTCCGCGGCTCTGGGAAGCCCAGGGGCTGCGGGCCGTGCGAGCACAAGCCTCCGTTCAGGGCGTCGTGCGCCGTCGGAGCTGGTCCGCTTGCGGGTTGGGTGGTGGTGTCAAACTCGTGGCCCCGACTCCCTCGCCTCACAGAGCGGTGGGTAATCGCACCTCGACCCGCAGTTCCAGATATTAGGCTGATTGTTGTGCCACTTCGTCCAGTGACTTGGTGCGGCTTTCCCACAGCAGGCGTCCTCGTCTGTAAACGTTTTATAGGTGCAATGACCTGGCCTATTCATGTGAATGTTGTTCCCATAATGGGCCCTTCACTCGCGGTGGTTTCGTGCCCTCCACCCCCACTTGTTCATCTTCAAAGTCATTGTCTTTCCTGAGTAGGTGAAGCAACAAGTCTTGCACACGGAGGACCCCAGTGGAAGGGTTTCCCTGCGACAGCCTGCAGAGGGCGCATTGCTCCAACCCCAAACCTGGGTCGGGACCTTATCCCTATTGGGTGGCTTTTGGGAGAAGAAGCTAGAAGCAAAACCATAGTAAGTTTTATCCTTTCCTTCCTCAGGAACAGAGACAGTCTAACTTCTTAGGGTTAGGGGAGATATTAGTGAGTTTTTGTGATACTCTGGTGACAGCTCAAGATCTGTTAACCTGAAAATAACGCCAGGTTTTGCTTTCTTTCGTTTTTATCCAGATTCTGGCACTGTTCAATAAGAGGCATTAGGGACTAAATGTAGTTTCTTTTCTTATCATATTTAGGATAAACCAAGGAATGAATGATCACAGTTTTTATACTTTTAAGGATAGCTTTGGCCTTTATCAGAAGCCAGGTTTTGTCAGTGTTGGCGATATACCACTTTAGATTACCAGTAGTTGGGACAGTCAAAACCATGTTCGAACACTGCCCAATATCCTGTTTAAGAATCCTGGTTCTGGGTGGGTAGTGGGCAGAGATGACCACTTTTTTCTTCTTTGTCCTCAGCTTTCCGCCTGGCCCTCATCCAACTTCACGTTTCTTCCGTTAAATCGGATAACATTACCCGGGCTTGTAGCCTAGTCCGGGAGGCAGCAAAGCAGGGTGCCAACATAATTTCTCTGCCGGTAAGTATCGGGGCAGCCTGCCCTTTCTAGGAGCTGTGGACCCACCCAGCTTGTGTCCTCTTGTGTCTGACCTCCAGCAATGTCTTTTGGAACTTTAATATTGTTTCGTATTTGTCTCATCTTCCACAAAAACTAGTAGCAACCTTTGTCGTAAGATGTCTAACATGGTTACAAGTCTTGATAAACAAGATCACCTACCCTGTTCAGATGAGGAGTAGAAAATCCACTGGGTGACTTCCTTAAAGAGAACACACTCAGGGCCTGTACGGTTTGCTTGGTTCCTTATATAGTGCAGACTTTTTATTGTTGTCATGTTTTAGGTCAGACCATGTTACTTTAGCACTGTTCAGCAGTTTTTGAAAAATTGTTTTGAGGTTTGAGTTGAAGGTTGTATCATATTTGGTGGTAAATACAGCCTCAGGGTTCCTGAATGAGCAGGGGTCAGTAACAAAGGGAATCTTATTGTTGTGTGTGTGTGTGTGTGTGTGTGTGTGTGTACATACACCCTGAGGGTCCAGAGGTCAGTTCTACAGGAGCAGTTTACTTTGTTGTTGTTTTGAAACAAGGTTTCTCTGTGTAGCCCTGGCTGTCCTGTCACTTGCTCTGTAGACCAGAGATCCACCTGCTTCTGCCTCCAAGTGCTGGGACTAAAGTCATGTGCTACTACTGTCTGACCACTCTGTGTTTTTTTAAGACAAGGTCTCTCCCTGGGATTTGGGACTGGACAGTTATAATGTTAGACTAGCTAGCCAGCAAGCCTCAGGGGTCCACTCCTCACTCCCCACCTAGTGTTGGGATAGTGAGTGCATCTCCTCATGCCTGGCTTATTTTACATGTGTGCTGGGGATCAAATATGTCCTCATACTTTTGTGGCAAGCACTTTACTGGTTGAGACAAGTACACAGCACAATCCAGTCTTCCTTTTCGGATTACTGTGTAGCCATGGCTGGCCTGGAACGTACTGTACAGAACAAACCTGGTGCTCTCTGTACATCAGTTACAGGACTCATGTGTACGTGGTACCTAACCATGGTCTCTAGTTAGTTTATGTTGCTGAAATGAAGTAAAAGTCTAGGAAGGAAAGTGCTTGGGTTATGTGAGTGCTTACTTAGCTCGCTGACTCTTGACATGCTGGTCATTTTTAGCATAATGCTTAGTATGTAGACGATGTCATTAAACGCAAAATGAGTAAATTTGAAATCAATAAATGTTTACCTGCTGTTTTCTGACATGTCAAAGGACTTCTGAAGGCACGTGTGTTGTATGTGTGTGTTAGTGTCATTGTCATTTTTGGTGTCTAATTTTGAGCTCCAGAATTCATCTCAGGATTCAAAATCAGGGTAAACATGATGGGCCTGGATGTCCACGAACTGCTAATTCCACAGGCTCCAGGTCTAGCCTTCTGCCAGGTCACCACGAATGTTTAGTTTCATCTATCCTCACCTGGGCTAGTTGCCTGCCTGCCTTTGATGCCCATTCTTTAGTTCTAGCAGGGTCTTACTACTGGTCTTTCCTACTGGTGTTTTATCCACTCCAAGCAGAATGGGAAGTGCTATGTTTCTAGTTTCTGCAGATCTTTAACAGTTTGCCTGGTCCCCCCCCCTTTTTCTTCTCACATGACTCTAGGAGTGCTTCAATTCTCCATATGGAACGAACTACTTTCCTGAATACGCAGAGAAAATTCCTGGAGAGACCACACAGAAGCTTTCTGAAGTAGCCAAGGAGAGCAGCGTATACCTCATTGGAGGTAATTTTGTCCATGTGGTGTAACAACATCTAAACACTAAAAACAGCAGGACGACTTCTGTTACATTTAAACTAAACATGTAAACACTTTAGCCCTTGAAAAAATATGAGGTTGCCAGGGATGGTGGCATACACCTATAATCCCAGCCTTGGAAAGCTGAGGCAGGAGGATTGTAAGATCAACTTGGGATATACTTCAAGATATACTAAGTGTAAAAAAATGCAAGTTCAGCATAATTATGAAAGAATTTAGATTAGTCCTCCCTTAAAAGATGACTGTATACTTTCACATGGAGTTATAGACATGAAGACCTAGTGAATACAGTAGAAACACACTAAACTGGTACTGATGACATTCTCTGTTAAAAAGCTAGATAAAATGTGGCAAGAGAAATCTGACCAGTGTTCTATGTGCTGATTTAAAACAAAAAGCCCAATAAACCTCCAGAGGTTCAGTAAATATAATGAACGAGATTATCTTGTGTCACGATGATCACGACAGTTAGGGATTAGCAATGAGTAGGTGCTGGCACTACACGGAGCATATGCTGGATTGGCTCTGTGATGAAGAAAGGCTTGTTTGTGTGTCTCGACATTCTCATCACAGGGCCCGTGGGATTCAGTTTTGTTGTAAGACTTGATGGATGTTAGCAATGAGGACGTCCAGATTTTACTCTGATGTTACATATTAACTGTTGCTCAACATCGTGACTGAATTTCAGGGGCACTTTGGTTATTTTTTAAACCTTTCTCTGGACTAATTATATTTCATCAATAATTTGGAGCTTAATCACTGAAAGATATATTTAAGGGGGAAAATGAATGCATAGAATAATCTTTATTATTGGGCCCAAATGACTGCTTACTGGGCCTTTACCTACTCTCACAAAGTTATTGGCCCATTCCTTTTTGTCACTGTTTTGTGTGACTGCATATTTCTCTCAATGGAAGGCTCCATCCCTGAAGAGGATGCTGGGAAACTGTATAATACCTGCCCTGTGTTTGGGCCTGATGGGAATTTACTGGTAAAGCACAGAAAGGTAAGTAGTGCAAATCTCATCATCTTCCATTTTCTGTTTCTTGTAAGGATATAGATGTAGTTAATCTTTAAGCCATTGGTTTTGTATGGTTCAATCTTGTTGAACTTGTGCTATGTAGGATCTCAGACATACCATTAAATATTAGGTGCTCTTAGGTGGGCAGTGTAAGCACATGCCTGTGGTTTTTTTTGTTTTTTTTTTCTCGAGACAGGCTTCTCTGTGTAGCCCTGGCTGTTCTGGTACTTGCTCTGTAGACCAGGCTGGCCTCCAGCTCATGCCTTTATTTCCAGCACTTTGGAGGCAGAGGTGGATGGATGGATTTCTTAGTTTGAGGCCATCCTGGTCTATAGAGTGAGTTCCAACCAGGGCTACAAGAGGGAAACCCTGTCTCAAAAATCAAAAAAGAAAAAAGAAAAGTGTCCTTGTCTCACTTCGAGTCTCAGAAGGAACACATTCACTATTTTACTCCTAAATCTGATGCTTTAGAATTTCTTAGTATGACTATTAGATGAATAGTGTTCCCTTCATAGAAAGTGTTTCTGTTTTGTTTTGAAAACCATGGTTGGTTGTAGAAGTTTACCAGATATAGGCTGGAGATAATGCTCAGAGGTAGAGTGCTTTCGTAGCATAGGCAGGGCCTGGGCTTAGTCACTGTCATTGCTCTGACCCCTTCCCCTCACCCACAGCATATATTACTATCGCTCAGTATATGTCCTTGAGATCCAACGTATGGCTTTTCCCTTTACTAATGTGATAAATTTCATTGGTTAATCTTCTGATATATCAAACCACATTTGTTGTGCTTGAAACAAAAATCTTACTTTAGCTAGGCGTTTGCTGGTGGATGCCTTTAATCCCAACACTTGGGAGGCAGAGGCAGGTAGATCTCTGAGTTGGGGACCAGCCTGGTCTACTGAGTGGTTTCCAGGAGAGCCAGGACTACAGAGAGAAACCCTGTCATGAAAAAGGAAAAGAAAGGAAGGAGAAGTGGAAGGGGAAAGGGAAAGAGAAGGGGAAGGGGAGGAAATAAATATATCTTATTTGGAATAGTTTTGCAAAATTTTATCTGGATTTTTGTGTTCATCTTGAAACAGGGTCTTTCTGCGTTCTAGGCTGACTTTGAACTCCAGTAGTCCATACTGGCCTAAAACTTGTGGCAATCCTCCGTTCAGAGCATCCTTCGTGCTAGGCGTGGCCACCATGCCAACTTATTTGTTTATAAATGCTTTCTTTATTGTATTTTTTCCTTTCTTTATTGATGGTGTTTTTTGTTTTTGTTTTTTGTTTTGATAAGGGGTCTATGTAGTCCTGGCTATCTTTGTAGACCAGTCTGACCTCAGACTCACAGAGATATACCTATCTCTGCTTCCCAAAGGCCTCTTCTTCATTTGCCAGTTTTGTCAGTTTGATTCTGATTCTGAGAAATCTTCCTTAGCATTTAGAGTGAATAAAGGCAACACACTGTGTCTACCATGAGCCTGCACATTTTTCACACCTGGAGACTACAGGGGTTATAAAACCCACATCATTTCCCCATTTTCCTGTAGTAGAAAGGATCGGCAAAATTGTTAACCTGTTCCTTCAGAGACTGAAAACAAGATAAAGACACCTAATACTTAAGGTTATGCCTGAGATCCTACACAGAGCAATAAGATAAGTGGTTGGATGTAGCCAGTTGTAGGTACAATATGGCCAAAACTGGGGATGATGTTTGTGCTGTCAATCTTTGAGCATTTCCATATCTGACCATGGAGAGCTGTCACTTCTGCTGTGAGGCCTGTGGGAAAAGAGGTAACCAAATCAATTATTTGTGATGCAGATCCATCTGTTTGACATTGATGTTCCTGGGAAAATTACATTTCAAGAATCTAAAACATTGAGTCCCGGTGATAGTTTCTCCACATTTGATACTCGTACGTACCAGATAAGTTTGCCTCTTACAGTAATCTCAGAAAAGAGGAGCAGGTATTTTCCCTTTTATGTCTATCTCCAACTTCTTCACATATCCGTATTAAAAGTTCAGAATTGAGGAGAGTAAGCAGTCAGAGATCTAGAAAGTTCTAGGAGAGAATGGAAACCTAGGATTTTGACATCGCTCTTCCATTGGGTTACAGCCTCTTGACCATAGCGTCCAGAGTGTTCCTGTGGGCTATCATTGACACACTATAATTAATAATGCATGTTGTTCAAAATGAACTTCTCAAAGCTATCCTGAGGCTATGAATTTGTATTTGAATGATGTCCCAATAGGATTGAACTTACAAATTGTCTGTTTAGAAGTCCTGGGTTAATTCTTCCTAGTCAGCGTTTATGATCAGAGAAGCTTTACTCTCCTGATCCATGCCAGAGGTTGGTTCACTTATTTGTGCATTGTTTTGTTTGGAAACAGCTTACTGCAGAGTGGGCCTGGGCATCTGCTACGATATGCGCTTTGCAGAGCTTGCACAAATCTATGCACAAAGAGGTGAGTTCGGGCCACAGATGAGTTAAGAAGCAGCATGGAAGTTTGATTCTGGGGTGATGTCTGTGGCATAAAGGTAGCCCCTAACACAAAGTTGCTCCACACACACAGACACACACACACACACTTTGCACAAAATGTCAGAGGTACAGTGTTAATGTCTCCATGACCAGTATTTCCACAGCATCTTACTAATCAACTTCTGCTGAGCAAGGGATACTATGGTTACAGGGGTGGGGTATGTGTCATCTTTCACATTATGTAGCAAAAGCTTTGTTCTGGAATATCCTCTTTACCCTTTGAGTCCCTAATATCACCATATTTGGAGTTACACAAGGCCAGGTAGAAATGCAGCAATGGTCTGTACTCTCATGGGGTTCACATATATACTGATAATACTAGTAATACTTTGGTTTGGACAACTTACTGCCTGTAAAACAGAATGAGACAAGTCAGAAGACCCAAGTTCTGGTTCTAACTTTGCTCTTTAGCACAGTACTCTGAACAATCATTTTACCTCTCTAAGGGGGTGTGGTTCCCCCAGAGAACTTGTATGACAGAGGACTGAGAAAACTTACAAACTTCTGATGCCATTCAGCAAATACCAGTGTCCTTTCTAAGCTACCAAAATCACTGACACTAAAATAAGTGGCATGGATGATTGACAGTGGTATGGAGGTGCATGCACTCTGGGTCTGAAACTGTACTGCCCCAAACTGCTTGGAAAGTTACATTCTATATCTCTTCATTATGTATTGCTGAGCATCTGAAGCCAAGGGACATTTTGATAACAGCGCTCTACTTTTTAATAGTGAAGGCACAAGTCTGACATCAACCATCCATTTCTCTTTTCTTGTGGCTGTGTTTTATACGTATATCTCTAAAAAAATTAAATTCAGAGCCTGTTTGTCTCACTAGGCTGACCTCTTTTTGGATGTGGAAAAGTCTGAGTTTGGCTCTATTGGATAAGGAGTAAAGGGAGGGGGTAATTGAGTGCTCACCATTGCACTTTGTCTCTCCCCCTGGAGGCTGCCAGCTCTTGGTGTATCCTGGAGCTTTCAATCTGACCACTGGACCAGCCCACTGGGAGTTGCTTCAGCGAGCCCGGTAAGAGGAGTCAAGCATCTCAGTGTTGATAGATCTATCAGCCTTAAATGGAACCCTACCCTACCCTGCCCCTGCCCCTGCCCCACCCTGCCCCGGCACCTAGGTGCACTTAGAAAGGATGACTCTGCCCAGAGAAGTCTGTTAGGAATAGACTCTGATGCCATAGCAGGTCCCTCAAGAGATGCTGTGGTTAAAGGCATGTGCTGCCATCACCGTGCTGCCTACCTTTATAAAACCAGTTTGTTTTAAATTGTGCATATACCTACTTACCCCCTATTTATTTATTTGTTTATTTATTGTGCTTGGACTATTTCACCAAACAGTGACTTCCAGTTCTATCCATTCTGCAGTGGCTGAATGTCACTCTTACTGTACATGGGTACAGTCTTTGTCTACTTTTGACAGTTAACAGATATGCAGGAGGTTTGCTTCTTGGCTCAGCAGGGCTGGATTCAGATGATGTCTTTTCATGCGCTGTTTCATTTCCTTTGGACTTGGACCTTTTAGTAGGATTTCTGGACCACATATCCTGTTTTTAACTGTTAGAGGCAACTCCACTGCTTTCCACAATGGCTATACTAACTTAAAGTCTCACTAATAGTGCACCAGGGTTTTCTGTACACCCTCACAGGGACTTGAGCTTCTTGATAATAGCCATTTGAACTACAGTGAAATAGTTTTGTGGTTGATTATCATGGTTTTGAGTTGCCTGATGATTAGTGATATTGGGCTTTCTAAAAATATTTATGTAGGTCAGTTGTGTTTGTCAGCTGTCTATCACTGTGACAAAATGCCCTAAACAAAGAACATAGAAGGATGGAAAGTTTATTTTGGCTCTGTTTTCAGGTTTCATTTCACACCTGCCTAGAGAGTTTACTGCAGTCTTTTCACCTAAGACAAGAAAGAGGGGCCAGGGTTCACAGGCTCTGCAAGGGTCCCCCCAATAGCCTAACTTCTTCTGTGCTTTACTTCCTATAAAGGTTGAACAACTTCCCCTCCTAATAGTGCTGTGGGCTGAGGACCAGCCTTCAAGTGCCATTAGTTTGACTTCTTTTTAATGTTTAGCTGGGTTGCTCTTCCTTGATAGTCTCACTGAGTAGCCAAGGCTGACCTTGAACTTTGATTGCTCTTGCGCCAGCCTCCTGGTTGGTGGGATTAGACACTGCTATTTTTAAATTGGGCTGTTTTGTGGCACTGAGATTTTAGAATTATTAGCTACATACCTACAGATTATTTCTGCCATTCTGGAGGTTTTCTTTCCATTCTTGGTACATTCATTTGCTGTACAGAAGCCTCAGTTTGATTATAATTTTTTATGTTTCTTTTTGTGTCTTATTCTCCCCAAACTCTTGCTCATTCCAATGTACAGAATGAAGCCTTTTCCTGTGTTTACTTCTAGTGTTTTCAGTTTGTCTTTTTTTTTTTAAACTTTAAAGAACTATATACACTTGGATAGAAACATCTTGTATGTATTTGCTTTCGGTCTGTTGACTACAGGGCTGTTGATAATCAGGTGTACGTAGCTACAGCCTCTCCTGCCCGGGATGACAAAGCCTCGTATGTGGTTTGGGGACACAGCACTGTTGTGGATCCTTGGTGAGTATGTTGTAGGCTGAGCTCAGCTGTAAGTTGAAAGACGGTACAGGATCATCTCCCTGCAACTCCTACCGACTTTTATTCACATACCCTAACAAGCATGAGTGAGGAAGCCATCCTGCATGCCATATCGAGCCCTTGGCTTTTGTCATCTTTGCTTGTCTAGGGAGTCTTGGCAGTCATACGAAATAAACAAGGCAGCAGCATGGGCGGGCAGTTGGTTTTAGGAAAAGAGATCCCAGAATTCTTAGTTTGCATTTGGCTAAAATTTAGGCTGAGTGACTGACTGGTCCAGGGGCAGGAATGAGGAGTGAGGCAAAGATGTTATTCCTTGTATAATGATCAGAGGATGGGGGAGTGAACACAAAACATCTGTCCAATCAGACAGGTGTTTCTCTATGGACAGATCACATGGTTGGCAACTGTGTCATTTGACAGCATACATTCACACATAGGATCCCAATCAGACAGGTGTCCTTACTAAACTTTGGACTTCTGTGTGTGTATACACACAGAGTAGTTCTACAATTTCAGAATAAACAGAACAGTCACCAAACCAAAAAAAAAAAACCTTGTAATCCCTAAGGGGTCCCAGAGAAGAGTTGGGGTCCCCTCAGTGTGCATGTGATTCTCAGTAATGCCACATACCAGGGTTTATAGGCACTGGAGAACTGGATTAGGCTGGTTTCTGTCCCATTCCTGTCTAGATGTTGACAACAAGCTCTACAGCCAGTTCTCCTAATGGCTACCTAGAGTGGCTGTTTGTCGCAAAGTAATTGTGTTATGTACTCTCCCTTTTTTTTCTATTTTGTCCTTCAAGCCTATGACTTTAGGGTGGTTGGTAGTGACATTAGAGAAAGAACTTTGAATTTGACAGGACAGATGGGTGAGAATTAGGATTCAATCAAATGAAATTAATGGTATTGGTATCTCATCCTTGCTAAGAGCCTGTGGCTATCTGATAAATACAGTCAGTCAGTTATTGTGCCAGATGGTTTGTTTTGACATATTTGGACATTAATCATTTCTCCAGATATATTATTGAGGCCCTGCACTAGGCCCAAAGGCTGGGTACTGCAAAGTTTTCCAGAACAGCCTTTACCTAGACTTTTGAAAGGCTGTTGCTCCTGTCATCATATTTTTAGCACATTGTTCAGACTCTGGGTACAGTCTTTTCTTCCAGTCTGAAACTCAAAAGCACAGGGAGTCAGGGATCTCAGCCACATAGACAGAGGTTCTTAGAGATCTGGTCCCTGTACAGGCCCAGCCTCACTATCCACAGGTATGGTTGCAGTTGGAAGCGCATGAGGAACAGATGGGGACCTTCCTTGGAAAGGGCTTTTCCAAGTAGTACTGGGACTTCCTGTTGACTACTGGTAGTTCTGTTCCCAGATATAATCATGAATGATGAGCTATGGTTTTCTAGCAGTGTGCAGTTTATTAAACATACTCCACACCTTCTTCACCAAGCCTCACAGGACTCTTATTTACACGATGTGCCACAAGTTCTCAACATAAACAACAGAACCAGAATTTATACTATTTCCTTAATTTAGATCTTTGAATCTTTCTTTTGGCCTGTTATACATGGAGGAAAATAAAGAGAACTTGACTGTCACCAGAGGTTGGTGAATCCCTATTTATTCTCTGGATTTCCTTCAGGGGGCAGGTCCTAACCAAAGCTGGCACAGAAGAAACAATCCTGTACTCAGACATAGGTAAGATGTGCCCCGCTGTGGTTATGGTTTCTGGTGTCCCCACTGTTCTGAGGCCACATTCTGTGGCTGGTCACTTGGAAGGATTCCTTTGTGTCCTGCTCTTCCATCTGGGTGATATTCTGGTTTTGAGGATGAGCTCCGGGGCTTTGCCTCACTGGGTTTTAGTTTGAATTGACCCAGGACCAACTCCAGGTCACCAGCATCCAGACAAGGCAAATGTTCTTGGGTCACTTTCTGAGACTTTGGTTTGGGAGTGAAATTTCATTGCTTGGTAAGCAGCTGCAAATTGCAGTTGCAAATTACTAACCATGTGTGTTCCTGGTTTTGCAGACCTGAAGAAGCTGGCTGAAATTCGGCAGCAAATACCCATTTTAAAACAGAAACGAGCAGACCTCTATGCAGTGGAGACAAAGAAGCCTTGATGTCTGTTTCAAAAATGTCACAAGCAGGATGATGCTCTGTCAGATGATCAACTCTACTAACTCCTTTTTTGAACAGGGCCCTTTCATGTTAATTCCATCAATGATCTGTGTCACAAGGCCCCCTATTTTATTTTAATTAAAAGTTTCTTTGAATGTGCCTGGTAACAGTGTTCTAGCTCTTAACTACTTAGTCTGATGGTTCTTAGGCATTTTAGTCTCAACATCCTATTGCACAATTAAAACCCGAAGCCTCTAAGCATTTTTGTTTCCATGTGTACCTAGTGGTGGGCTGCTCTCAGCTGTCTGAGAAAATGTACATTTACAAGAACACTAATTTTCATGGTGCTAATATCCCATCAACATGACACTTTCAAAAACTTTTATTAAAAATTGTTTTTACAATATATTTTAATGTTTTTCTTCTTCCCCAATTCCTTTCTACTCATCCAAATTTATGTTCTTTCTCTTTCTAAAACAAACAAAAACTCCATAAAATGAAAATCAAACTTAACAAGCAAAAGACCAATTAAAGACAAAAGGAAACAAAAAGTCCACAAAAAAAAAAAGAAAGAAAACAAAGGAGTTTAACGTGCCACTTGTAAACAGTAACAGATGTGCAGTTGGGTCCCATGACCTATACAATACTGCTTTAGCACACCACTGGTTCAATACCATACTGGTAAATCAAAACTTTAAAGTATCTAGGCTATTATTGTGGTTACTTACAGAAGGGTATACAATTTGGTAAGATTTGGCACACATACACAGACATTATGAAATACCAGTTAAGAAAGTGAATATATGTACTGCCACCAGAAGTTTCCTTACAAGCATTTTGGAATATTTTTCTTGTCTGTGTGTATGGGTATGTGCAGGTGTTGAAGTCAGAAGAAATACCCTAGGGCTGGAGTTAAGAGTTATTCATAAGCTGTTCAATATGGGTGATAGGAACTGAACTCAGGTCCTCTCCCGGAGCAGCAAGCACTCTTTAACCACTGGGCCATCTTTTTGGCCTCTCCCTATAATCTTGTAAACTCTCTAGCTATTCAATCATTGATAAGCTTTATCACCATAGAGAACTTTTGAGGTTTCTAGATTTACGTAAAAAGTGAATTATAACCTAGTACTTTTACTGGGTGTTTACCTTACCTGTGCATCAGTGATGTATTACTTGTTGATGGATGTTTGAGTTCTCTCTGCCTTTTGAATGAAGGAATTAGAAACAATTACTTTCCATGTCTGGAGCAGTAGAGTCATGGGCTCATATATCTACTTCACTATCAAATTGTTTCCAAAGTGGTTGTACCATTTTACAGTGCTGCCAATTGTTTGAGTCCTAGTTGTCCCCTGTTCCTTATCCTCATCAACTTTGTATAGTTAACTTTCATAGTTTTTACTTTTTGGAGATGGTGCCCTGCCAGGTAGCCCACGCTGACCTTGAACTTGGGGTTCTCTTACATTAACTCCCAAGTGCTGGGATTATAGGCACAATGCCAACCAGCTTCTTCTCAGTAAATTTAATATTTCTTGGGCTGGTAAAATGGCTCAGTGGGTAAAAGCAGGCCTTTTTTGCTTTGCAGGCCTGCTAACCCGAGTTCAATCTTTAGAACCTATGATGGAAGGAACCAAGTCTATAAAGTTGCCCTCCACATGTACACTTCACACAATTAAAAAATGATTCATCATTGATACTAACATCTTTTCATGTATATTTTTGGTGAACATCAGTTGGTACCCTTTGCCTATATTTTTATGGCTTTTCCCTCAAATGATAATTGCTTATATAATTTGATGCAGTCTTTGTCATAGTCTCCCGCTCTAAAGGGGAAAATGACATTTACCTGTCCTCACACTGGGATCAAGCCCAGATCTCACATGCTGAACATTCTCCTTACCACAGCTGCAGCCTCAGTTGTTCTCTTAGTATTTTATCATTTTCTATCTTTCTATGTGACTTTTCCATCTCTGTTACCTAAGTACTGAGACTACAGGCTTGTTCCACCATGTCAACTAATTTTCTTTTCTTTCTTTTTTTTTTTAAATTATTATTTGAAGAGCAAACTGTTTATTTTCAAAGGCCAACTTGTTTATGTTTAGTTATTTTGCCTGCATGCATATATGTGTGTGTCTGGTGCCTGAGGAGGCACAAGGTATCAGATCACCTGGAACTGGAGTTACAGGCAGTTTGTGAGCTGCCACATGAAGTCTTGGGAAACAAAACCTCTCCACCTCTCCTTTATTTCCCTTTGAAGTTATCCTTCCGTGTCCTCTGGCATTTATGGCTTTAGCTTACTTATGTTCTTAAGTTCTCTCCATGGTTAAACTCCCTTGTGGAATCAGCACAAAGAAGTTAGTTAGCCTCATGATAACATCTGATAGATGGCTTTCTAGGTTGCTGTACAAGTCTAAGACACATATAAAGAACGAACTCTCGAAATTGTTCTTCACAGAGCTTTGTTTCATTCTTAGATGAGTATTTGCAGGAAACTTCATGACCACATCAATAAAAACTTGCATATGCCTATCTTCAAAGATAGTTTAAATCAACATGAAATTGACTGAAGAGGGTTTCAGTTAATAAATGAACAAATTTCCTATCTTTCTGTTTCAAAAATGGATAGAAAAGCTTGAATGTAGTATTTATTTTGTGAATTTACATGTGAAGCCATTTACAAAAGTAAAGATACAGACAGATGCAGCTTTCAGTGCAGTTTCAAATATGTTCACAACAAGCAAAAACGTTTTTAAGTATCTGGAATGACAGTATTGAATGGCACATGCTTCAGTGTTTCCTACCCAACCCCAAGAAAGAAGGGAGCAGAGTAGAAGATGTCCCTATTAATGTAAATACAGCCATGCAAATAAAAAACTTTTAAGCAAAGAGGTCACATTCAGAGATGTAGGACATTTCTGTATTTAGGGTTATCATCATTGGAGAATTATTTCACAACAAAATGAAGAGCTCTCCAACTTTCCATTATCCCAGTGACCTTGAGTTATGTTCACGGCTCCTATTGAAATCAGCTATAGGCTTACCAGCATCGTCCAAAAACTGACTTTATAAGAGGAGTCACTTCTAGTATTTCCTAAAAAGACAGCATTTGTAGACAAAATCATTTTGGTTTCAGTGGGATAAAGCACCCTTTTAAATAAGAGTGTAAAATGCTCCTTTACTCTCAACAATGTAAACTATAATTAGACTGTATGTCCATAGTCTTAATAGGCTTGCTTTTTTTTTTTTAAAAAAACATTTCACTTAAATAAACCTCAACCTGTCCTGGATCTTGGAAACAGACTCAGTAAGAACACATCCCTCCCAACCATAAAAATCCAGCATATAAATAAGTAAAACGATAGTCTGTGAAAGTGATGAATAGAAACAGCTCAGAGATTCAGAAGAGAGGATGAAGTACAGATAAAAATGAACAGAACAAAAGTAAAGTCAGCTGTCAGTATCCCTGGAGATGTGGACGTGGACCATCAGACCTTAGAGGTTAAGGTCACCTCAATACAAAAAGTATTCTATGTATCGGACATCTCTGAAAATACTGGCTCAAATCCCTTAAGTTAACAGCCACAGCTACACCACTAAAGTTTTCATCTCAAAAAAGTAAGCCCTGGCTCCAGGACTGACATCCTTTTTGAACCTTTACCAAATTTCTGTCAGTAGAAAATGTAAGCTAATTAAATATTCCTATATATCATCACATGTACTCCATCTGTATGTGGGCTGTTCACATGCACTCACTTTTGTTCAAAAGCATACTATTAAATAGTACTTCCTATGGAATAGGCACGGGCAAGTATATACATGTCTTGTTCACCTTACCTTCCTTGTTCAGTCCCTCATTAAGTCTTCCTGTACAAGTATCAATCAGAGTATTTTGCTTCTGCATAATTTACTAAAGTTCTACAGAATCAGAGGCACTGTGCATGCTGACAATAGCTTAAAGTCTTTCAATTTAACTGAAATCCACATTGAAGCTTTTCATCCTTCAAAAAAATTAAAAAGGATTAATTGAATACAAAAGAAGTCTATTTTACAGCACTTACTATGTTAAAGACTAACATACTATAAAACACTCACATATTATACAAACAGCTATAAAACCAAAATCATTCAGAACATAATCCCCACCCCAATATTAAAAAAAAAAAAACCAAATCAACAAATCAAAGTTTTTATTTGCATGGCCAATTACTGTTTATATTCTACAACTTTGTTTTAATATCCCTTTAACAGGTTCCAAGCTTTTGTTGCACAGGGAATAAAAGCTGCAAGACTGCAAACTTCCTCCAACAGCCACGCCCACTACAGCTAAACATGAGACAGATGTAATGAATGACAACATCACAAAGGGACTACTGAGTTCCACCGTTCAACAATTCATGACAGTGTCTTCAGGGTTCAGTTGAAGACGGGGTAAACTTCTTTTAAAAGAGTCAGTCTGTTTCCCCTGGTGTTTATAATGTCGGCGGTTTTAATCCGTATTTCTTTGCTACTTCTGTCTGGGCATGGGCAGCATCACAAAGTGAATACAGATGAGCCATCTCCATTTCCGACTTGGCCAGGTTGATAGCTTTGTTGAACATGTCAATGGCTTTCTCCATGTTTCCTCTAAAAGACCAAAAAATTCAAAGATTCTTCAACAAGTAGTTCTCAGTAACCAATAAAGTTTAGCTGTGTTGCATTAAGCCTTAACTATAATTCTAATAAAAGGTTTCTTTCATAATAAACAAGAATGCCTAGCACAGCATACTGAAAGCACCAATGAATCCACCTTACACCCAACATCCACCTCCATGTCTCCTCCCAGTCCCTCCCTCTCACAGCTCTTCCCCCTACTCCCTGAGAAGGGGAAGTCCCCGTGAGCATCACCCTACCCTGGCATGTCAAGTCTGCAGGAATAGGCACATCCTCTCTCACCTTGGCCACCAGGCAGCCTACTCTGTTAACTCTATCTTGAATCCTTTGTTAAATACAGGAAGACTGGGGCAACTAAGTTGGTTACATAAAAATCATTAATTTTCCTGGTTCCTAAGCCTGTTTCTAGTGAAACATGAGGGTTCTGGCAGCACAGAACACTAGTAGCCCTCAAATGCTTGTCCCTTAAAGGACGGATTCCACAACCTCATCTCTCATACCAAATGCCAAAACCTGAGAACTTCCATGCAGTCAAAGGTCAATCCCAGTTTCCTGATCATGTCAAACCTGATCACAAAGAGCCTCAGATTATTGTTTCTGCTTAACTCTGATCAAATCCCTTTTAGGACCCACTTCAAATATAGTACTGTATATTTCCCCACCTTCTCTTCCCAGAAGAATTAAATACTTCATTCCTAATATCTCTTACAGTTCTATTAGCCCCGTATACATAAGCAGATGAATTTCGCACCATCTTAC